AGAAATAAAAATAAATAAAAAGGTTATTTAATGCTAACGAAAAGAAAGGTAATAATTGAACTTTAAGTGAAAAAGAGAATAAAAGTAGGTATACAATTTTTTTTTGTTTTGTTTAAACTAGTGTCTTAATTTTGATATTTTAATCTTCTTCTGAGATATTTGTTGTTTTTCTCAATTATTCGCCTTTCTTTTCATATCAATAATAAACAATATTACAGATTTAATATTTATCATAGTATTAAGATATTTATTTATATTTTATTAATATTTATATCTGTCGAAATATGTAACATGTGGAAACAAAAATTGTCTGCCTAGTCGATAATTAACTGATTTCTTAGTGGACTGTAAATTATTTGCAGTTAAAGATGTTCATGAAATAAAACTGACGTGTGAATGTTTCGAACGTTTTATTAAGACTGATATAAAAAATGCAGAGGACAGCAATACGACGATTTGTCGGTTTAGGCTCATACAACTTGTCCGCTAAACTATTCTATTTATTATTATTATTTTGACCCAAACCTCGTTAAAAAAACACGCCTCGGGTAATTTTTAGGTATTTTTATTAAAACGCTAACACACATATTTACTATTTTTACAAAATAATAACATACAAACTTACCCAAATTAGTTTAAGGCATTTCAACGACCTGTCAAAATGATGCCAGTGGGAACTGACAGTTTAGATCTGGCAAACCTGTGGGGCTGTTGTCATTGACAGACTCAAGGATACATATATAATTATATAGATTTTTCAAAGCAGGTCGTTTGCGAGCGGCCATATTGCCTGGCAAGTGCCAAAAATATGTTTTAAATCCAATGTCCAGTCTTTGAATATATTTAAAAAACTACCTACTTAATTTTTTAGTTCAACCTATAAGATTATATTTATTTTTAAAAACGTGGATGATCAATCTATATAACTATCTATATCATTGACTCTGTCAAATCACCAGGCTACAGTGTTGTGAGATCATAACCTATCATGTTCCTGTCAGTGGCCTGTCATTTCCTACGGGCAACCATTTTGTTTGGAATGCCCAAATGAGTAGTAATTTATTGCACTCTAAAACTATACAGTAAAATTAGGAATATTTTACATTGAACGATATTTAAAATCTATTCTTCGTTCTGTTTTACTTTACACACTATAATAATAGTTTACCTAACAAGTGCGGAAAGTGATACTTTTCCGCACGCGATAGCAGATGGCGGAACGACGCGTTAGCGGAGTTCGGCCACACTAGCGTGGGGAAAAAACCCAAAAGTTAACATAAAGAAACATTTATTATTAAATACATATCAACAAATTAATTATTCTTAATATTAATATTGAACGTACAATTTGTAGCATTCTGCAAATTAATTAAAGAGGCTAAACTGTTTTTCCAATGAAATCAGATTTCTGTTTTACACTGGTTTGTCAGCACTAATTGTTGCAACCGTGGCGATGGGAACTTGGCTGAAAGAGGTCATTTTGGAAGGCTTTACTGGAGACAGCTGCTAACTAGTGGAAGGGCCAGCGACAGCGTCATTGAATTTTAATATTTTATTCGATAGGCCGTTTGTGAGCTTTCTACATAACCTTCTGGGACGCTAAAAAATTTCCAACCTCAGAGTCGTTTAATATTTGTTATTCCTTCTCCGGAATCTGCAAGCATTGTGGCGGCGGAACGTCGGAAACTGTGACCCGTATATAATTCAGGATTTGGAAGCTTCAGATAACTTGCAATCTCTGATGGCATTTTTCCGAAGGTGTTTATTCCGATACATTGTACAGTGCAAGTTCATTTCTTATATTTCGCGAAAAATCGCTTATGTGGGGTTTCAGGCTTTCTTAAACTTGCATACTTTCTGAACAAATTGAGCAATTTTCCATTTTCAGCTTTCTCAGAAATGGCAAAGCTTCTGAAAGAGTTGTTTTTTGTGTCTGGGATATTTGTCAATAAAATATTTCCTTTGTCATCAATATGATCTAAAGACATCTTTGTTAATTAACATTGAGAACCTGGATCAAAGAGTGTTTGGCTTGCATGTTTTGGAAATTTTAGCGAAATAAGCCAAAAAAACGTCTTCTTTAAAAGTTTTAATTTCCTTATTCTGGCACCAGTTTTCAAAAAAAATATATTCCTTTTCATACTTATAACGGGATTTTGATGGTAGTAGATCCAAGTTTGCAGTTCTAGCCGCTTCCAAAACTGACTGGCAAATCTTCTTCTGAAGAATCCATGAAAAATTATCTTCTAGAAAAATATGCGACGGTAAAATTGGTTTTGACAAGGTGGTGTCACAGTTTATAGCTAAAGAATCAGTTCGCTCACTCTGCGTCGGTACTTTTGATCTCAATGTTCCAGTTTATACACTGCGCAACTCGGATTTGCATCCCTGGCGCATACATAATCAAATAATAAACCAATACAATATATGACAACCGCCTAAATTCAAACAGCAGTCTTCGGCTCATCCTGAATTTGTATCCCGAGTGGATATTATTTTGGAACTTTCAACTGGTCCGAGTGAGCTAACTGATTCTTTAGCAATAAACTGTGACTCCAAAAATAATATTCACTGACACTGACAGCAGCAAGCAAAATATCAGGTGCGTTTTAATCATCCGCTTCTGCTTCCGGAATTGTCGGTTCAGTCGTTCTAACCTGTCAGATTAAAACAAGAAAACCGACCATTCCGAAGCAGAAGCGGATGATTAAAACGCACATATTAAAAATATTGCGCCAAGATGTAAGCAACACGTAATAAGGGTTCAAAATGGCGGAGTTTTCTATCTCCTTTTAAAAGGCACTCAGAAAGCTGCGCAGTGTGACCATTCTTCGTATAGTAAAAGAAAATCAAAGTATGTGTTAGCAATAAACTGTGGTGGTGTTTTGATTGACAGGTTTATTTTTTCTTTGTTGCTACGGTGATTCAAAGTGACAAATAAAAAATGTCAGATGTTTATTATTATTTGACATTCATTTGATGAAGCTTATACCAGGGCCATTAAAAAATTATTGAAACATACGTTTCTTTTTATTAAAAATTATAGCAGAATTCTAATAAATTTCTTAATTTTTCAGTCATTTTGTAAACTACAACCATACAAATATATATTTTAAATATTCAAATGTCCGTATACTCCCCAAAAACAACAAATTTACTAGTGCGGAAAAAATGAGTGCGGAAAAGTGGACTTTTCCGCACGCTAGTAGAAAAACAATTTTTCCCACTTAGTCTTTTTTCTTTCATTAATGGTGCGTTTGATTTGTTCATCGGAGATCTCCGATCGCTGCAAACGTGTTTGTTACGCTTAGGAGCGAGAACATAGAGCGAGCTTCATGTTTTCAGAGCAGCAGGATCGAGAAGTGGGAGAAATTTGTCTTTGTCGCTACCTATTTCTTTTTAATTTATCTACAAACAAACTTAAATCTCAACATTCGAATCCAGACAAGAAGTCAACAAATTAGCCGCTTTTGTCTTATAGCTAAAATTATTCATCATAAAAAAATTAAATCTGTGTTTGGAAAATACATTTTCTCTGATCAGATCTAATCACCAGTAATCTTAGTCATGTAGTTTAAAAGCGAAGCGGGCATTTGTGGTATATGCTACATTTCAGGGCCACTGCCCTTTATTAATAATTTTTTTACATTTTCTTAACTTTTTGCTCACTGCTTTGACACACTAACCAGAAACAAGAATAACAAAAAAGCGAGGTTATGTTTTTTACTTTGTTCTATTTGATTTTTCATTGTTCTATTGTAATGTCATCACTTCTCAGTCTCATCGACGCTCGCTCGCTCAAGTTTCAAATCAAACGACCCTTGAGTTGGGTATCTTTCACCTTCGGATTTGAGTTGCGTATCTTTCAGCTTCGGATGTTGACATTGATGTTGTCACGTAAACTGCCAATAGCTTAGTTTATGGTGCGTTTGACTTGATCATCGGAGATCTCCGAGCGCTGTAAACGTGTTTGAATTGACACTCCCAAAAGTGTTTGTTTTCGCTTTGGAGCGAGAACAAAGAGCGAGCTCGATGTTTTCAGAGTAGATGGATATAGAATTCTAGAAGGAGGGAAAAATTTGTCTTTGTCTCTACCTCTCTTTTTAATTAACCTACAAATAAACTTGAATCTCATAATTTGAAACCAGACAAGAACTCAACAAATTACTTAGCCGCTTTTATTTTATAGCTAAAATTATTCATTATAAAAAAATTAAATTTGTGTTTGGAAAATACAATGTATCTGCTGAGATCTAAATACCAGTAATCACAGTCATGTAGTTTGAAAGTGAAGCGGGCATTTGTGGTATATACTGCATTTTAGGGCCATTGTCCCCTATTATCAAAAGTTTTTCACTATTTGCTCACTGTTTTGAAACAAACCAGAAACAAGAAAGCGAGTTTATGTTTCTTATTTGTTTAAACAGATAGTTCGGAACAAGGGTAACGTCGCCTTCTCTGAGAAACAGATTTATCTTCGTGTTCTAAAACCTCAAAGTCTAATTGATCAATAATCACGAATTTTTTTATTATTATACGATAATACGCAAAAACTAATCCGAGCCACTCGATTAGGTGCTCCCCACGTGTTAAACACATACTTTCTGCATGTGTGACGTAACCGTTTTCAATATATTGCTATGCTAGTGGCCGGGCCGTTTGAGATGTAGCTTGGACGTAATATAGTCTAGTGAGTTGTCAGTCGCTTGAATCATTTGTTGTGCCTTGGAATAACACGACGCGAATTTTTCGTCGGCATCAAATTACATAATAATAAATAATTGTTGATATATTTTGCGCTAGAGCCACGGCCTTTCTGCCCCTTAGAGTAAGCAGCCAGTGGATTTATAGTTACTAGTATCTTATTTCTGGTTTCTTCTTATTATTATTGTTTGAGCTTTCGATAGTTTAATTCTAAAATCACCTATTATTAAAAGCTCCATCTATTTGAATGCACCCATAACTCTCTAGTAACAACTACGTTATTCTTATGATTTCAGGAAATTCTGAAAACGAATCAAGGCAACCTGATCTACAGTCCGTTTTCCGCACAAGTCGTTCTAGCTCTTCTTTCAGCCGGTGCTAACGGTCCAAGTCACGATGAAATCGTGACAGGTGTGTCGCTACCATCTTCCCAAGAGAAAATCCAAAAGGCATTCAAAGAATTTTTGCCAAAACTGAAATCCGATACCGAGAAATTAAAGCTGTTGAGCGCTAACAAAGTCTACGTTGGACAAGACGTAAAATTGGAACCATCGTTCCAGAAAATTGCTGTTGAAATTTACGATTCTTGTAAGTACAATATTGTTTATAAATAAATAATTTACATGACAATTTATATGGTACAGTACGACGCGACGGTGTGAATTTATTTGTCAAAGTAGATATTTTTTATGAATACCTGTAATTTTCTAGTACATCCATTTTTAACTAGAGGTCACCATATAAAAACAATGTTGCCACTCTGTTTTAGAAATGGTTTTAGTAGGTAAATGATTGTTTAGAGGTACCTATTTTTGAATTGGTTGTACAAGTGTATGATGTCCTTTATTGTTTCGTTTTTTTTATATATTTGTCTCGCGCCATTCCAGTTAGCTATATAATTTTCCCTGTATATGATAAAAGTGTTGCCCGTTGCCAGATGTACAATAGTTATCGTTTTATACGATAATTTTAATATTCTATACAACGTACTATTTTAATGTACTTACAATAATTTCACAATTCTTACAATAATTTGATTCAGACTTCTCCGCAAAACATCGAGACATTATTAATTTTCGGACTTGCTTTCTTCTTCCGAATGTTGTTTTATCGTTATTAGAACCCATATTTTTGAGTTAACACGTTGACTGCATACCCGACTTTTCCATCGCGCCATGTGCCTACATATTATTCACAAGCAGTGCTTTTTTTGTTCATTTGCTGTTTTATTTTTGGTTAGTTGTTAATATTTCAAAAATACTGATTTTTCTCATTGATTGACCGAAAATACACACGTAATTTTGATTATTAATTAAAAATGGTACTGTAATTCTGAATTGATAAAAATAGTGATAATGAAAATCTAAAATGAAAATATAAATTAAGACTCTATAAATAAAGTGAAATTTTATCTTTAATTCAATTTCTTTTTTTTTACAAAAACATAATATCTGAAATATTTCTCAGCAATATGTCATAAGTTGCATACACATATTATGTCTACGTAAGTTGGCGGCATATATGAACAACATTTTTATTATTAATTTTAGGAAAATAGTCATTGTTCATAAAAATTTATACACTCCCTAAAACCGAAAATACAACTACCTGATATAGATTTTTCAAAAAATATGACCGTATTTTAGGTTTTAAATCATGCGCAACTTTAAATGTAGAATAACATTTTCCTAAAATTAATTACAAAATTTTTTTCTATGCCGCCAACTGTCTACGTAGGTAAGCGGCATATATGGAAAAAAAAATATTTTTAATTTTAGAAAAAAGTTATTCTTCATAAAAAGTTGAGCATAATATAAAACCGAAAATTTCAAGAATCTTATATCAAATTTTATCAGTCGTATGCGAGGTTCATCAAAAAATATTAATATGCACAAATATATTTTTGACAATCCTCGTATACGATTAACAAAATTAGATGATTGTATTTTAGGTTTTGCTCAACCTTTTGTCTATGACTTGACAAACTGCCACATACATTGTGTACGATGAAAAAATTAGATGGACAATATCCAGCTTCTCTCCATTTAAATCGCCAGGTCCTGACGGTATCTATCCAGCCCTACTTCAGTGGGGTCTGGAAGAACTCACACCGCACCTGGTGGATATATTCAAATCCTCGTTAGCTCTGAGGTATATCCCCAAAAAATGGAGACAGGGAGTGCGTAAAGTTTTTCTTTTTTTTCACTAGTATGTAAAGTGTTATTTTAGTGAAAAAAAGTAACTTTTATATTTCTAATATTAGTGGATAATGTGTAGGGTAGTAGAAAAAGTATTATAAGCAACTATTTTTTCTTAGTAGTTATTATATGTATTTTGCCATGTTTTTTTTTGTGAAAACAAGTATCTTAACACTGGTTAGCCTTTATTTTTGTATTCAGTTTTCTGTAATTTATATTTATTGTGGAAATAATAGTTATTTATGCAACAAGTGTGTAAAAAGACTTTACACACGAGTGGTATACAATATTTTTTTCTACTACCGTACACATAATCCACTAATATTAGAAATTTAAAAGTTACTTTTTTTCACTAGTGAAAAAAGTACTTTACTTTACGCACTAGTGAAAAAAAGTAAAATGTGCCAAAAATTGTACACAGCAACAAAAATAAATTTATTGGAACTTTACAAATTTATAATTCTTACAGAACAAAATGACTAACAAATGAAGAAATATTTAAAAAAATAGGTTTTTAACTCTTATGAATATTAATATTGAATGTGCAATTATTGCAATTACCAAAACTTAAGGTTTTGGCCTTTTCCAGCACAGAGTTTGAAAAATGTTGTGATATTACTTCTGTAACCCTATTTTGAGCTTCGAGTGGTATGGATTTGGCCTTTCTAAGTAAAGAGGTTGAAATATTTTGTGTAACTCTAGTTTCACTGTCGAGTGGTTCCACTAATTCTTCATTAGAGTTGTCAACGGTAAAATTGTAGCTTTGTTTGGAAGTGGATGGCATACTGTCATCCATCAAAATTTTATTAGAAATTTTGCTTTTTTGTGTTATTGTGCTGTCTACGTAGCCTTCTGCAACAGCAGATGATTTCCATCCTCCATGTTTTTTGACCGTTAGAAGGTCTCCTCCAGAATTTGCCAGAATAATGGCTGAAGACCTCCCAAAGCAGTGTCCTGTAAAAGCCGTTGGATTGGGCAAGTTTAGATACGCTGCTATAACACTTGGCATTTTACTAAAAGTATTTATCCCTACAGGCTGTTTAGAATATTTTCCATTTGCGAATTTTAAAAATAATCTGTTACAATTTATATTTGATGGACTTAATGAGGTATATTTTTTTATGAAAGATAAATAATTTGGATTTAAAATCGTAAAAATGCGTTCTATTCCATTTTTGGTTTCTGATACTTTGACAATATACACTGTTTGTTTATCTTCCACATGGTTAATTGTCATTTTACATAATTCTTCCCGGCGACAAGCTCCCGCAATTCCAATTATAAAAGCTACCTAAAAAATAACATATTGTAATGTTACAAATAATTTATTAAACATTAGGAAATATCTTGACGTTGCGCATGTAAAACTCCAAATAAATGCTATTGTAAAAAATATAAAAGTTTTAGGTATAATGTGCTGCCTAACAACCCCGGTGGCCTGTTAGGACAGCAACTGATTTTGTTAGGCAACACACCATACGAACACACATCTCGTTGCAAAACTTTACAAAATATTTTAATTTTATACTGAGCATTCAAGCATTTACTGAGGCATTTACTTACTTTGATCATTAAAAACTTGGAATCTGGAGCTTTCAACAGAAGATTAATTAGATCTTCTCGTTCAAAAATTTTGGATTTTTTTGGTTTATAACCTTTATTTTTTTGTTTGAGAAACGCTATTAACTTGTTGAATGTCGAAATATCAACGTTGTTTTTATATTTTAAGGTGCTTTTAAGCATAGAATAAATCGATTATAGGGTAGAAGCTTTGCAATTCTTCAATTCATCGGAGAAATATGCTGAAATAACGTTTTCCGAATATTTTGTCACCTTATTCTTCCTACACCATTCCATAAATGCATTGTATTTTTGCTGATAAATATATGCAGATTTTTCTGGCAATAAATTTTCAGTGGCCTTTTGTGCACTGCATAAGATATCTGGGGGAGTATTATCAAATTCGCTATCGCTAGATAAATTTGAATCCATATCGATTATGACAGATATAATAAACGCAAATAAAATTTGAATTTAAGTACACAAACATTAAAAAGTAAAACTTTTTACCTTCTCAAACTTGATTGAGTTTAAAAAAATGCTAAATTGGCTTTAGAATCTAATCTTGAACTTAAGCATACTTTTGTCGTGTTCTGTTATAAGGTAGGTACCACATACTTTGATTTTCTTTACTATACGGCGCAAGAGAGAGGTCCGACACGCCCAACATAGGGCCCGGCCATTTTGAACCCTATGCAATAGTTTATAGCTAAAGAATCAGATCGCTCACTCTGCGTCGGCACTTTTGATCTCAATGTTCCAGTTTATACACTGCGCAACTCGGATAATACAATATATAACAACCGCCTATAATAAAACAGCTGTCTTCTGCGTATCCTAAAATTTGTATCCCTGGAGTGGATCTTATTTTGAAACTTTCAACTGGTCCGAGTGAGCTTACTGATTCTTTAGAAATAATCTGTGACTCAAAAAATAATATTCACTGACACTGACAGCCGCAAGCAAAATATCAGGTGCGTTTTAATCATCCGCTTCTGCTTCCGGAATTGTCGGTTTAACTTGTCAAATTAAAACAAGAAAACCGACAATTCCGAAGCAGAAGCGGATGATTAAAACGCACCTATTAAAAATATTGCGCCAAGATGTAGGCAACACGTAATAAGGGTTCAAAATGGCGGAGTTTTCTATCTCCTTTTAAAAGGCACTCAGAAAGCTGCGCAGTGCGACCATTCTCCGTATAGTAAAATAAAATCAAAGTATGTGGTAGGTACTAATTAAAAGTTTAGAGATTGACAGTTCTTCTAATCCACACAGTCACGGCCAACTTACTTTTACCAAAATCGACATCCACTGTATGTTTACTTTTAATTAAATCGATGACATTTAGAGAAAATTATAATTAAAATAAACTGATAATTTGTTGGACACTAAATAGATATAAGCAAAAATAATTTATTTATTTATTTGTCTTAGAAGGAGATAGCAAAAAAATGTTAATATAAAATAAAACGTTATATTTTGTTGTTATGTACAAATTTTGTCAAATTTTACTTTCTTTAACTAGTGCGTAAAGAGTTTTACTTTACGCACTTGTGAAAAAAAGTACAACTTTACACACTTCGTGGAGTGCGTAAAGTACGTACTTTACGCACGGTAGTAGAAAAAGTTATTTATATTATTAATATTATTTTGCAGCCGCTGAAAATGTCGATTTCTCTAAAAACGAAGTAGCTGCCGCTCACATCAATGAATGGGTTGAAAGTCAAACGAACCATAAGATTCAAAATCTTGTTGACAAAGACTCCCTCAGCTCAGATACCGCCTTAGTTCTTGTCAATGCTTTGTATATGAGCGCTAAATGGTCGTCCACCTTCAGCGAATACGCCACCAGACCCGAAAAATTCTACAAAACCGCCAAAGATACCGTAGACGTCCCTACCATGTCTCAAATCAACCACTTCAATTATTATGACAACACTGAATTGGGAGCCCAATTCTTGGAATTACCATACGAAGGTGAGTAAATATAAAAATTAATTAATAATTAGGCATTTTTCTTGTGTCACAAAAATATTAAAAATATTGAAAAATATTGAAAAATATTGAAAAATATTGAAAAATATTGAAAAATATTGAAAAATATTGAAAAATATTGAAAAATATTGAAAAATATTGAAAAATATTGAAAAATATTGAAAAATATTGAAAAATATTGAAAAATATTGAAAAATATTGAAAAATATTGAAAAATATTGAAAAATATTGAAAAATATTGAAAAATATTGAAAAATATTGAAAAATATTGAAAAATATTGAAAAATATTGAAAAATATTGAAAAATATTGAAAAATATTGAAAAATATTGAAAAATATTGAAAAATATTGAAAAATATTGAAAAATATTGAAAAATATTGAAAAATATTGAAAAATATTGAAAAATATTGAAAAATATTGAAAAATATTGAAAAATATTGAAAAATATTGAAAAATATTGAAAAATATTGAAAAATATTGAAAAATATTGAAAAATATTGAAAAATATTGAAAAATATTGAAAAATATTGAAAAATATTGAAAAATATTGAAAAATATTGAAAAATATTGAAAAATATTGAAAAATATTGAAAAATATTGAAAAATATTGAAAAATATTGAAAAATATTGAAAACATCAACAAATAATAAACACAATCGAAAAATATCGACAATTATTGAAAAAGGTAGGTGCTATTTATACCGACTTTTCCTAAGTTTTCGATGGAGTGAACAAAGTGTTTTAATAGTAAAAAAAAAATGAATTTATTAACAACGAAAAAACCAAAAAAATATTTCAACATAATATTACCCTTCTACAACTTTTTTATTATTTAATATTTTATTGAATCAATTCGAATTACTCCATTAACTATAGACCACCCTGTTTATAACTGATTTTACAAATAAATTACGTATACCGTTATAGGTAAAAATAAACTACAAATCGTCGAAAAATTCAAATTGTTTGGCTTTTTTTCACCGTCGGTATCTTCGGAAGTTAGTTTTGCCCGTAAATCTTTAAAATCACAAATAATTTTGCCAATAGTAATAACAATAGGATCTATCAATACTTTTGTTCTTGGATCTAAGTCACAAAGTTTGTTTTTGTGGCCAATACGTTTAGAACAAGCCGCAGTTGTAACAGCCCTTTAAATTTCATAATTAAATAAAATATTGATAATTCTTTCAGTCTTTCATATTTTAGTGAGTAACACAAAACAAAAACTGTTAACTAATAAGATAAAGATGTAGAAAACGTTAAACTTGTATTTTTTGTTTCAGCTGATGGTTTGAGCATGGTTATTGTATTGCCCCATGAAAAAGAGGGTTTGAAAGCACTTGAAAGTAATGTAGAAAAACTTTTTGCACCACAACCCTTGAAACGCGAACGTGTTGACGTAAAATTACCCAAATTCCAAATTGACTCAGAAATTAAATTCGTCGAAATCCTTAAATCCGTAAGTATCTTTCAATTAACACACATGTAAAAAATAAAATTTAAATTATTTTTGAAAAATCTACTTTGGACCGCGTTGAGATAATATGGCTAATATTTGGTATTTAAAATATTTGTAGTTGGGAGTTAAGAAAATCTTTGAAGAGGACGCAGACTTGAAAGGACTATCCGCCAACAAAAAGCGTTTATACGTTTCGGAAGTTATCCAAAAGGCATTCATCAATGTTACAGAAAGCGGAACCGAAGCTGCTGCTGCAACCGCAGGTTAGTGTGCACGCTTTTTTTAAATGAATTCTTTATACAAAAAAATGCTCGGTATTTATCAATATGATTAAAAAAAAACTAAAATTTATAAAAAAAATAAAACCATTTCTATTTTCATGATAGTTTTTAAGTATAGGGTGCATAATAAACCTTCTTTGGATCATTTAAAAATTAAAACCAATTTAGGATATAAAATTTTTATAAGTCAAGTTAAATTTTGTTATGGGAACATACATTTGGACCAAATTACTAGTTGTAATTTGTAACATCACTTACTGCGCTGCTTATAATTATTTTTACGGATGGATGAACCATTTCAAAATTAAAATCAACCATATGTTGTTAAAATGTGAATTTTTTTAAGTCAACTGTAATCATAAAGTTTACAACTAAGAACATGAAAAAATATAGAAGGCCTAATAGTAAAGGTGGATATTACTAAAAATAGTATGAAATGTCAATAAATATAACTAAATTAATTTTAAAGAAAAGAATATTTAGGTTTGATTTTACAATTAAAAGAAGAAACGAATAAAATTTACATTTAAAATACGATTACCAAAATTTAATAAAATATAAAACACGAATTTGAAGAAATATTTGTAGATAACTAAAATGAAGTAGAAAATTATTTAAAATTTTAAACGTCAGGTAAATTATTACATTATAACGTAGATTTAATTAAAATTGGGTATTATTGATTTGGGAATGAAAAAGAATACCATTTTGAGAATTCTTGGTTCTCCGAAGTGTAAGTAACCAAATTAAGAAATAATCAATGACAATAAATACTTGTCTTGTATATGTTACGGTTAAAGTGTTTACTTGGCTAGTTTATAGACTAGCTGGATAGTATATAAACTATCCAAATGTCCTGCTATTTTGATGGAAAATCATATTTCTACTAAAATAGCTATGAATATTGGTTGGTTTGTATACTAACCAGCTAGTTTACAAACTATACAATATTTATCGCCATAGTACAAACCACAAGAAAAGTACACAAATTAACCGACATTTTTGGCTAGTTTACAAACTATCCACAGTATTTGGATAAAGTGTGAACTAAATATTCGTAGTAATACATAATAACCAGCTCGTCGGTTAGTATGTAAACTAACCAATTCTCTTCGGTTAATTTATTAGAAAAGTGAGGTTATAGTTATGGCAAGTGTGTGTTATTATTGTTTACTACTGTGGTGCCTTGTGAAATTTGTTTAAAAAGAGGTAATTAAAAATTAATCAACAGCAACAATTTGAAAACCTACTTTTGGAAGTTTACGAACAAAAGTCGCAAAATTCAAAAAAATTAATGAATAACAGTGATTAAAGTGAACTTTTGCAATGTATAAAAAGAATACGCGAAACTGGACCTAACACGAGTAACAAAAATTATTATGACGTGGTAAATACTTATGATTTATAGAGAATCGATTCATCTTATGTAATTTTACATCAAAAATCTGAAAAGATTATTTTACGTTTGAGTGAATGTTATGATGCCATTAAAGCTACCCATCAGGGAACTGGGCATGGAGGTCGTCAGGCAATAACATAATTATTAAATAAAAAGTATTATAACAACACAGGAAACGGTTAAATTATTTATTGAAACTTGCGAAACATGTCAGCTCAAACAGATCAAAACTAAGAAAGGTATTGTTGTGAAACCAATTGTTTCAAATCATTTAAAGGCTCGGCGCCAAATCTGTCTCATTGACTTACAAACTAGACCGGATGGTGACTTCAAGTTTATTTTTGTCTATCAAGACCACCTAACCAAATAAGTCAGGTTGAGAGAACAAAGAAGGCTAGAGAAGTAGCTGAACACCTATTAGAAGTATTTGCAGACCTAGGGAGCCCTTACGTGTTTTAGAGTGACAACGGCCAAAAATTTGCAAATGAGGTTGGTGTTTTTCCAATATGTAGGTATAGAGTGGCCAAAAAACAAATAAAATTTCATCTAAATTCCTAGAATGAAATTATTTAAACAATCAATAATCTTTATTTAAATATATGAATGAAGTACCCAAGGCAAAATCGAATAGGTGGTTCAATGAATAAATGTTCACTTGCCATGCGGTCAGTCCAAGTATTTTTTAAGTTAAATTAGGTGCCAATATATTTATTTTTTCCAACAAAAATAATAATAATAATTTTTGTTACTCGTGTTAGGTCCAGTTTCGCGTATTCTTTTTATACATTGCAAAAGTTCACTTTAATCACTGTCATTCATTAATTTTTTTGAATTTTGCGACTTTTGTTCGTAAACTTCCAAAAGTAGGTTTTCAAATTGTTGCTGTTGATTAATTTTTAATAACCTCTTTTTAAACAAATTTCACAAAGCACCACAGTAGTAAACAAATATAAAACACACTTGCCATAACTATAACCTCACTTTTCTAATAAATTAACCGAAGAGAATTGGTTAGTTTACATACTAACCGACGAGCTGGTTATTATGTATTACTACGAATATTTAGTTCACACTTTATTCAAATACTGTGGATAGTTTGTAAACTAGCCAAAAATGTCGGTTAATTTGTGTACTTTTCTTGTGGTTTGTACTTTGGCGAGAAATATTGTATAGTTTGTAAACTAGCTGGTTAGTATACAAATCAACCAATATTCATAGCTATTTTAGTAGAAATATGATTTTCCATCAAAATAGCAGGACATTTGGATAGTTTGTATACAATCCAGCTAGTCTATAAACTAGCCAAGTAAACACTTTAACCGTAACATATACAAACTATAAACAATAATTTTATAGATGTTGAATCGTCTAGAACTTCCTAATGTTAACTGTTTCTGTCAGAAATTAGATTTGATTATTCGTAATTGTTTTTAAACGCCTATATCTACGCTATTCTTAAAGATAGTTCAGAATTTACTCAATGAGACCTGCAAAATAGTTTATTTCACGCTTTTAAAAATATGAGATTTACTATTATTTCCGGAAAAACCGCCATGACGTCACAAATTAATTGAATCAGTTATAAGAAAGTTCTTAAGCCAAATGTTTAAACAAAAAAAATAATTTCGGTATCTCAATTAATAACGAATATAAGAGGTAATGGAATTTTTAAATAGCGTCTGGAGGGCATTAGCAACAGCCAGAATGGTTTGGCAAATGTAATTAATGTTAAATAATTCAAAGACTATTTCCTGAAAGTTTTGACATTTTTACATTTTCGAAAATGTATATATAGGTGTCGCAACCGTGGTATCCTTGCCAGATTATTTTTTCTTCATTCTATTGGTATTAAATTATAAATCTACAAATTTTCAACTTTGTGTTTAAAACGTTATTCAAAATGGAATTTTGGCTCCAATTTAGGTTATTTTTTACTATAAATTCAATAATTTTGAAATCAATTAGTTTAGCAACCGTTTAAGCTATGCATATGGAGTTTGTGGCATATATTTTTATAATTTTAACGTATTTTTCAGAAACTCGTATATTTTCATGCAAGCTTTGTTAGAAATACTTTCTGCAAGCAAAAATGAAGTTTTTTTCTGACAGTAACAAGTTTTTACGACAAAAAATTATCAAACCTATAGTAGACACAAATTCAAACAGTAATGTATGTAAAGTTTTGTTTTTCTATTTCTAAGTCAGAAAAATTTATATAATTATAGAACACGTGGGTATTCAACAAAGATAATAAATATCACAAATTTGTTTTATAGTTAATACAAAAAAAAACATATTTTGTATATGCAGCATGATTTGGGTGTGAATTTATATTTTTATTTAGAAAATGAATTTTAGAAAGAAATAATTAAGTTCTTTAGTTTTAAAATTATTGATAATAAACTAATCTTGTTCAAATATTATTTAATACCGAGCATTTTTTTGAGGGATTTAGGCTTGTTCTTTTTAATTTCTTTCTGTTTCTTCTATTTCTCTCTCTCTTTCTCTCTGTTTTTTGGCTATTAAAACACTGACGTAGCGATTATTATTCATCAGCCATAATTATATATAAATCTTTCAATTTATAAAAATTATTAATATAATTCAAAAAATATATTAAAAATTCATTTCAATTTTATATATTATTTTTTTTAACACTGTCCTGAATAAGATATATTAGATTTTAAGAGTTAGCTACGTCATTGTTTATTAAAAATGCACGCTTTGTATTTTTGCTAATCTATTGTTGTTTAATTTTTGTACATTTTATACCTATTTTGAAGAAAATAGTATGAAGAGATAAACTAATAACGCGACCCACTGATAAATTATTCATGTATACAGGGTTGGATAAAATGGGCGAAACGCCAGATTTTTGGTTTTACTGTATTAATGTAGTTTTGTATTTCTTATAATATAGACGCAGTTGTTTTTAAAAAAATATAATGGCTAATTATTCTCATTGGTGAATGCAAATAATTTATAAAAAGAAGGAAACTTTATACACAATCCTTGTTGGATTACTAAAAATCGAAAAATGAATTCAGATTTGCTCTAGAAAATAACTATCGGCAACGTTGCCCTGATGTTGACAATATATGCAGGATTGGCTAGCCGTTTATTTAACCCGTAACTACAGATGTTAAATTTTCTACATGACGCATTTCAAATATGACGTTTCTCATATGGTTACTTGCATATTATGTAAAAAATTGTGAACATGTTTTCAGTTTAATTTTTTTTATTGGTCAAATAATATTTATTAAATTAAAACATGATTTCAGTAAAGTTTTTCTTAAAAATGTCATTAAAAAATTCAAAATTATTCGGTAAAAAACATACGTATTAAATATAAACAACATAAGGAACTGGAATAGGAGTGTATGGGTCTAGAACTAGGCACTCTGAAAGTTTGGGAAATTATCCAAGCCTTCCAGGCGTAAATTCACGCCATCGAGAAGTGTATCCAGTTTAATATTGAGAGAAACTATCGTAGACAAGAGATTATCATCATGTCCGATAGCCAAGCAGCCATTAAAACGCTGAGCTCTTACGCAATCAGCTCAAAAATGGTCTGGAGATG